TGAGCCTGGAACCCCAGGTTTCGGCGGTGACCAGGGGAGCATTCGCACAGTTAAAACTCGTGCGCCAACTGCGACCGTACCTTGGGAAGTCTGACTTGGCCACGGTAGTCCACGCTCTGGTTACATCCCGTCTTGATTACTGCAACGCTCTCTACGTGGGGTTGCCTTTGAAGACGGCTCGGAAGCTTCAACTAGTCCAACGTGCGGCGGCCATGGTACTAACTGGAGCGGGGCGCAGGGAGCATACAACTCCTCTGCTGTACCAGCTCCACTGGCTTCCGATCTGCTACCGGGCCCAATTCAAAGTGCTGGCGTTGGCCTTTAAAGCCCTAAACGGTTCTGGCCCAACATATCTATCCGAACGTATCTCGGCCTATCAGCCCACCAGGACCCTAAGATCTTCGGGGGAGGCCCTTCTCTCTATCCCGCCTGCTTCACAGGTGCGGCTCGCGGGAACGAGAGACAGGGCCTTTTCTGTGGTAGCCCCTCGGCTTTGGAATGCCCTCCCTGTAGAGATAAGATCTGCCTCTTCATTGATGGCATTTAGAAAAAAGCTAAAAACGTGGATGTTTCAGCAAGCATTCGGCTAACCTGATGCAATGAAGTTAATGACCAAGGATCGGTAATCACGGATGATGAGATCGGATTATGTTTTTAGTTAAGAGATACATCGACCGTATTGGTGGCCCAATACTGTTTTATTGTTTATGTGTTATGCTTTTAAATTGTATATTGTTGTACACTGTATTGATGTAAACCGCGTTGAGTCGCCATAGTAGGCTGAGAAACGGCGGTATACAAGAACAGTAATAAATAAATAAATAAATATAGATGTAGGCGAAACGTCAGGAGAGGATGCTTCAGGAGGAACAAGAGCTAGAAGCAGCTGAGGCATTGTAATACTTGTGGTAGGGAAGCTTTGGCTTTCCAGTTGATAATGGACTACAACTGGCCTCAGTCTTGCGCTTTGGCCATTCAGACTGAAACTTTTGGAACTGGTAGACCAAAACAGCTAAAGAGTTTTATTGGGTTGTTGTAGGTTTTTTCGGGTTATATGGCCATGTTCTAGAGGCATTCTCTCCTGACGTTTCGCCTGCATCTGTGGCAAGCATCCTCAGAGGTAGCGAGGTCACCTCACTGCCTCTGAGGATGCTTGCCATAGATGCAGGCAAAATGTCAGGAAAGAATGCTTCCAGAACATGGCCATACACACCAGAAAACTCACAGCAACCCATCGATTCCAGCCATGAAAGCCTTTGACAACACAAAAAATGCAAAGTTGAGCCGGTTTTTAAAAAGCAGCAGCAAGTATCTTTAATTACAATCAACCTGCCAAGATTTGTAAGACAGAATGCGATCCTTGATGACCAGAGAGAGGAGTTAATGTTAAGAGAAGAAAAGCAAGCATTTTAAAACAAGTCTGTTTTATAATTATCAAGAAAAACCCCTTTTGTTTTCAACCAGATCCCCCTTCTTTATGGCTCCTGTTTTTTTAAAGGTTGCCACAAAAACTGAGGTTTCATTTTAAGAACTGGCACGTTCCTTGGGTGTTAAATATGGCTGTAGGGCAGAGAACCTGTGTCATCCTTTGAAAATAAAATATCAAATCATAACGTTGAAGCAGGTTTTGGACACGTTCATCATTGATGCACTTCAATGCCAGGAATGCACATGTCTATTTAATCAACAACAGGTATGTTTTTTTGGGAATGCTGTTGGTATCAAGTGCAAAAATAAGTGAAATGAAGCCTTTCCCACCCTTTTTATAGGGCAGAGTCACCTCCATTGCACCTCAGTGCTGCTGTTAGAGAGCACAAACTAGAATAGTGGTTCTCAACCTGTGTGTGGTTCTCAACCTGGGGTCCCCAGATGTTTCTGGCCTACAGCTCCCAGAAATCCAAGCCAGTTTACCAGCTGTTAGGATTTCTGGGAGTTGAAGGCCAAAAACATCTGGGGACCCCAGGTTGAGAACCACTGTTCTAGGTCCTCTTGGTGATTCTATGATATGCTTCTGATGGAGGTTGACCATAGAAGGACCTACTCATGCTTATAGAGGTGTCTTCTAGGCATTTCCTAGATCTTCCAGCATGGCTCTAGGGCAGGCATGGGCAAACTTCGCCCCTCCAGGTGTTAGGAATGGTGGGAGTTGAAATCCAAACACCTGGAGGGCTGAAGTCTGCCCATGCCTGCTCTCTGGTATAATTCTGCCGGAAGTCATTTGTTCAATCAAGTTTACTATTACTGCAAACATGTGTCTGACGGATATAGAGGCTGCAACGTAACTGTAATTCAACACTGTAAGAAAAACTAAAAACAAGAGCTAGAAGCAGCTGAGGCAATGTAATACTTGTGGTAGGGAAGCTTTGGCTTTCCAAGTGATAACGGACTACAACTGGTCCCAGTCTTGCACTTTGGCCTTTCAGACTGAAACTTTTGGAACTGGTAGACCAAAACAGCTATAGAGTTTTAGTGGGTTGTTGTAGGTTTCTTCAGGCTATATGGCCATGTTCTAGAGGCATTCTCTCCTGATGTTTCGCCTGCATCTATGGCAAGCATCCTCAGAGGTAGTGAGGTCTGTTGGAACTAGGAAAATAGGTTTATATATCTGTGGAATGACCAGGGTGGGACAAAGACTCTTGTCTGTTGGAGCTAGGTGTGAATGTTTCAACTGACCACCTTGATTAGCATTTGATGGCCTGGCAGTGCCTGGGGCAATCTTTTGTTGAGACATGTGAAACATTCACACTTAGCTCCAGCAGACAAGAGTTCTTTGTCCCACCCTGGTCATTCCACAGATATATAAATCCCATTTTCCTAGTTCCAACAGACCTCACTACCTCTGAGGATGCTTGCCATAGATGCAGGCGAAACGTCAGGAGAGAATGCCTCTAGAACATGGCCATATCGCCCAAAAAAACCTACAACAACCCAGTGATTTGGGCCATGAAAGCCTTCGACAATACAAAGAGTTTTGTGTTTCCATCGCTTGAACTCTACCGCCACCTAGAGGTGAGCCAACTTTAATTCTTTGGATTTGAATAGTTTGATACTAGACAGGGGTTGGCTCAGGTAACATTAAGAGTTGAAATTTTAAAAAGAGCACATTGTGCGCCTCTCTTGCCCAAAAATGACAAACCTTGGGCCTTCCAGACATTTTTAGACTGCAGGACCCATAGCCTCTTTCAGTTGGGAGTCCAACAACTTGCAACAAGCCACAAATTGGGATACAATTAAAGCAGTGCAAGACCACTTTAATACTTGTGTGTCTGTCCCATAAATCCTGAGATTTATAATTTGACCTGGTACTCTTTAGCATGTGGTTTCAAAAGTACAGCACCAAAATTTTCTGACAGGAAGTCTAGTACCTTGTGAAAGTACTCACCCCATGATTCTATAGGATGGAGCCATGAGAGAGCTGTAGTAGATGCTTCACTTTGTTCTGTTGGGCCTAAGAATGAGCTGGAACCTATAGCCATCCTACAGAATCTGCTTCCTGGACCTATTAGGCAGCTTATGAACTACATTCAACTTTGCAGGCGACATGTTGTGCCCAAGAACATCCAGAGACCTGTTCTAGTTCCACAACAAGGACAAGGTTCTGGATACAAGAGTCTCACAGAATTCTTGATAGATCTCAAGTAGTTTCTCAATGTACAATGCAATAACTGAGAAGATAAGATTAAACAAAACAGTAAAGATCAGCTGCCACATGATGGGATGCAGTGCAAAGAAGAGTCTGACTGCTCATTCCCTCGACTCAAGAGAGCAAAAGTCACCAGCCAAGGTCATGTTGGTCCCATGGTTGACGTCCAATGCAAAAAGAGCCTTGCAGGTCTTAATGCTTCTTAACCTCTCCAGGAAAGTGGCAACATGGAACCCCCCAGTGGGTTTAATGTTATCTGCCATCGCCGTCACCGCTTCTGTGCCCAGCGGGCATAGTGTTGGCGCAGCTCATTCCAGAACAGCAGGCTGAGGATGGTGTGGGGCCCAATGCGGAAGTAGCAAGCTCCCAATCCCTTGTAGACCCCCAAAAAGCCCTCTGAGCGGATGATTTTGGCAAGGCAATCGAGAAGACCCTTGTAGATCAGACCCTGTGGGAGAGAAAAAATTAAACCAAGAGTGGTAACCTCTCCCACTCTATTTCCAACCATTTTCCATTGTTCTTCCACCTGGTTGGCCATGTAAAAATCAGTTGGTGAATGTGTGATAACTAAAAATGCAAAACACGAAGCTGATTGGTTGGGCCGCACCCAACTAAGCTAGCTGAGCCTGGGAGTTTTGGCGACAGTTACATTTTCAGGCTTTAGCTGTGCAGGAGCTTGCAAAGATAGATTTTCTTCTGGGTTGCTGGAAGAAGGTTCTTTTCACATGAACACCTAAGGACCATTTGAATCTCTCTTAAAAGGACATTGTGTGAGTCAATGCAACTGTTCACATAATTGTATATGTGTTGCTCTGCATAACAAAGAGTAAACACCTTATTCTTTACTGATCATCTGCATGGCATATCTTTTCTTTGGCAAGACAGTGTGTGGACTGTCAGACATGAACTTGAACTACGTGTGATTTTCATTCCGTCACACAACCCGCAAACAGCAATTGTTCATTTCCACACTTACCTGACCCTCCGGCCCAACGGGTTGGTTGTAGAGGCGGGTGCTGGCCACATCAAAGGGCGACATTGCAAGGGCCACGGTGAAGCTGCTTACCATGCCAGCGCTCAGGGCTACCAGCCAGCTGTCCTTTGGGAATACCTAGGGAGAGTCAGGATAGACGGAAAGCGGGTGAGGTGGCTCAAAAGGAACCCCCAAGGGACACAGGCAGAGATTGCCTTGACCGATGGAGACTGGAACCAAGCATGGGCAGAGAGCCATCTTCTTATGTAAGTAACCTCCATGAAACTGGGAAAATTCATGAAAACATTTTTAATGTGAGAGAATTCCTTCTGGGATTCTCTACATCCAGGGAGACTTGGTGGTCAACGTCTAGGTCCCCCACACTGGGGGACCTAGAGATTCCTAGATAATTGTTCCCTCTAAGTCAGTGGTTCTCAACCGGTGGGCCTTCAGATGTTTTGGCCTTTAACTCCCAAAAATCCTAACAGCTAGTGAACTGATATATAAACCCCACTTGCCTATTTTCCAACAAACCTCACAACCTTTGAGGATGCCTGCCATAGATGCAGGCAAAACGTCAGGAGAGAATGCTTCTGGAACATGGCCATATGGCCTGGAAAGCACACAACAATCCAGCTGGTAAACTGGCTGGGATTTCCGGGAGTTGTAGGCCAGCTTCTGCCAACCTAGCAGTTTGAAAACATGCGAATGTGAGCAGATCAATAGGTACCACTTTGGTAGGAAGGTAAAGATGCTCCATGCAGTCGTGGCCATACGGCCCGGAAAACACACAACAACCCAGCTGGTAAACTGGCTGGGATTTCCGGGAGTTGTAGGCCAGCTTCTGTCAACCTAGCAGTTTGAAAACATGCGAATGTGAGTAGATAAATAGGTACCACTTCGGCAGGAAGGTAATGACGTTCCATGCAGTCATGACGGCCACATAACCTTGGAGGTGTCTAAAGACAATACCGGCTCTTCGGCTTAGAAATGGAAATGAGCACCACTCCCCAGAGTTGGACACGACTAGACTTAATGTCAGAGGAAAAGCTTTACCTTTCCTCTTAAAAGATTCCAGTGTTTTTCACCTATGGTCTAGTTTCTGGCTGGAAAAGCTTTAGGTTATAAAAAGCTGGTATATTTGGTCCCTGGGCTCTCTACTCTTATACACCACCATTGGAATGTGGTTTTGGAATTTCTTTAAAATTGGATTATGGCCTTGAGCAGAAGATTCCCTATCCTTGTAATGTAAATATGTAGTATCTCAAGGAACAGTTTGGTAACAGGCACACAGAAGAAAACATACACAAGTGTTCTGTTAATGGACCATAGACTAAATCGCCTATATATAGGAGTGTTGTGTGGTTTCCGGGCTGTATGGCCATGTTCTAGCAGCATTTTCTCCTGATGTTTCGCCTGCATCTGTGGCTGGCATCTTCAGAGGATATATATCTCAGGCTGAGAAATATGTTGGCCTCTAGATATTGCTGGACTTTAACTCTTGCAGAGCTGGTGAAGAAGAATGCTGGCGATTGTGGTCCCAACGCCTTGGGGTGGGGTTGTCTTAGTCCCAACCCTGATCCATATCAATGAATGTTGAAATGCCCCCAAGCTCTTAGGACCCATAAAACCAGGATAGCTTGGGAAGAGCCCACTCCAGCACAAATGGGGGAAATCACCTTCTCTATGAATATACCTCTAGGCGCTGGAAGAACTCCTTGGCAGAAGAGAAGGTGGCCAGCTGGGTCGCAGAGCCCACCATGACCCGGGGTACGGATGAAATGGCTCCACGCCACAACCCCAGAATGCCGTGTTCTTTGTGAATCATCATCAGTGCATGGAACATCCCCTGGGCACAAGGAAAGAGAAACAAAAAGTCCCGAATACCTTCTCCAATTTTATGATATTTATTTATTTATTTATTTACAGCTTTTATATTCCGCCCTTCTCACCCCGCAGGGGACTCAGGGCGGATTACAGTACACATATATGGCAAACATTCAATGCCAGTTTTTGACATACAAACATATACAGACATAGACAGAGGCTATTTAACTTTTTCTGGCCGCCAGGGGAGCTGTCGCTTTCATCGTCCATCTGCGACGCTGATTAAGCACTTCCGCATTCCCCGCATGCTTCCCCGCTGGAATGCTTTTCTGAAGTCTTCTTTATGGCCTCATAAATCAGTTAATTTAGCCTCCCCACATGTTAAGGTGGTACCTTATTTTCCTACTTGACAGATGCAACTGTCTTTTGGGTTGCAAAGGTCGACAACAGGCTACACACAATTGGTTGGAAACCCACTCCAACCTGGGCTGGCTTCGAACTCATGACCTTTTGGTCAGAGTGATCTTAATGCAGCTGACACTCAGCCAGCTGCGCCACAATTGTCCCAGTGCCCAATTAATATACCACTTTTCTCCCACATGCCATACATGATCAGGGGTCCTCAAACTAAGGCCCAAGGGTCGGATAAAGCCCTCCAAGGTCATTTACCCAGCCCTCACTGAGGGTCAACCTAAGTCTGAAAGGACTTGAAAACACACAACAACAATCTTATCTCATCAGCCAAAAGCAGGCCCACACTTCTCCTTGAAATACTAATAAGTTTATATTTGTTAAAATTGTTCTTCATTTTAATTATTGTATTTTTTAAGTGTTTTTTGCACTACAAATAAGATGTGCAGTGTGCATAGGAATTCATTCATGTGTTTTTTTCCAAATTATAATCCGGCCCTCCAACAGTTTGAGGGATTTTGACCTGGCCCTCTGTTTACAAAGTTTGAGGACCCCTGCACTAGACTATAGTGAAAACAGTTAGAAACATATACATACAAATTAAAAAGCATTAAACAATAATGCTCATACCTGATCTAGATGGACCAAGATCCTGGCTGCATATAGAGCAGCTTCCTAACAACTATGCTGTTAGGAATTGTGAGAGTTGAAGTCCAAAACACCTGGAGGGTCAAAGTTTGCCCATGCCTGGTCCAGACTGTAGAACTAGTGCAGTTCAACGCCTCTTTAATTGCCATGACTCAGTGCTATGGAATCATGTGAGTTGTAGTTTTACAAGGCCTTTAGTTTTATCTGCCAAAAAGTAGAGGTGCCTCGCCAAACTACAACTCCCATGATTCCATAGAACTCAGTCATGGCAGTGAAAAGGGCATTCATTCAACCGTGTAGATGCACCCTAGGACAAAGAACAAGCAGCACATACCTGATGCTGATACTGGTGCCCCACCGCAATCTCAGCAGCCGATTGAGCCTGGATGTGGGTCTTCACCTGTGGAAAAGATGGGAGTCTGATTAGCTTCCTCAGAAACCATATAAGGAGCCTATTATTATTGCTTAGGAAGAGTATCATATGTCCTCTTCTTAACATGGGTCATCGTTATCCAAAGGAAAAATAACACATGTTTCAGAGAGATGTTTTGGGCAGGGAAGTACTTATTACATGTAGCTATGTTCAAACTTGTGGCAGAATGAAAATCATGTGTAGTTCAATCTACACACTGTCTTGCTAGAGGAAAGATATGCCATGCAGTAAAGAATTAAGTGTTTGCTCTTTTGTTATGCAGTGCAACATATATACAGTCATGAGAACAGTTGCATTGACTCACACAATGTCCTTTGAGAGAGATTTAAATGGTCCTTGGATGTCCATGTGAGAGAATGTCTTCCAGCAGCCAAGAAGCAAAAATACAAAACTGCCTTGGCAAGTGCTCACACAGAAAACTTAAACACGTAACTGTTGCCAAAACTCCCAGGCTCAGCTAGCTGCCTGGGTGTGGCCCAGCCAATTAGCTTTGTGTGTTAGGAGGAGCTTGAAGACGTGGTTGTTCCAGTGAGCCTTCCCAGAATAATGATCCCACAGCACTTTGTCTTCCGAAGCACTTTACATTTTAGGTCTGCTTGTATGTTTCCACAAACACCACTACCACCTTTTCGACCATGCTCCAGCATTATTTTCAATTTTAATTTTACATTTGGCCTTCCCACAGTTTTAATTGTGTGTTGTCTTATTGTTAATGTTGCATATTTTATTGTCCATGTTTTTTTTAATTTTAATTGCTTGTATTGTTGTTATTATTGCGTGTATTGTTGTATTTGGGCTCGGCCTCACGTAAGCCGCACCAAGTCCCTTGGGGAGATGGTAGCGGGGTACAAATAAAGTGTTGTTGTTGTTGTTGTTGTTGTTGTTGTGTTTTGCATTCTTCAGTTAACACATTCACCAACTGATTTTTACATGCTCCAACAAAACTGTTACACTCAAGATTTGAATAATCAGAGAACCTTTTAGCATGGATAACTAGGAAATGAAAGCAATTGTTATGGTTTGAGTACCCAAGTATCAATCTGGAGACTACCATTTCCAAACTACTGCTAAACTATGGAAACCAAGTGGGTGACGTTGGATGAGTCACACTCTCAATTTCAGAGGAAAGCAATGACAAATTGCTTCTGAATAAATCTTACCAAGAATCCCATGTGCTAAGGTCACTATAAGTCAGAAATAACTTGAAGGCACACAACCACTATCAGGCTAAAATTAACCTCCCAAAAGCTATACCCAGGTCTTGTCTAGCATCTATCATTTTTGGGGGCGAAAGGATGCAGGAATGGATGGGCCACAATGACATTGTTGAATACAGAAAGTCATGGGGTTTATAATCTAAGAAGGTGGTTCCCATCCTGTGGTCCATGAACCACCAGTGGTCCCCAAGAACCAAATGTATTGTCGAATGCTTTCATGGCCAGAATCACTGAGTTGTTGCAGGTTTTTGGGGCTATATGGCCATGTTCTAGAAGCAGAGAATGCTTCTAGAACATGGCCATATTGCCCGAAAAACCTACAACAACCCAACTAAAATATGGTCCGCAACCTCACCATTACTGCACTGTTACAACGAGAGCAAGTGGTCTTGCAAAACCTTCATATAGTGCCGAGGCTTATTATGGTTTTCTGTAGGCGAGCAGATGGCGACTACTGGATGGCATATGTTCTGCATCAGAAACTAGTGTTGATGTGGTCTATCCAAAGCAATGTTTGGAATCAGCACCCCAAATAACCAAATTATTAAATATGGTTTTCTGTGGGCGAGCAGATGGCAACTACTGGATGGCATATGTACTGTATCAGAAACTAGAGCTGATATGGTCTATCCAATGCAATGTTCTGAGTCAGCACCCCAAATAACCAAAACAAATCTAAAGTTGACCAAAATCTGATTCGTAACCCTTTTGGTACTAATGTTGGAGAGTGGTCCCTGGTCAAAGTGGTCCCTGGTCAAAACAAAGATTGGGAACCACTGATCTAACACAATGCCCTTGATTATGATACTGGCTCTATCTTTTGTTTGATGGTTAACCAGGGAAAAGAGGAAGAGTGTGTGTGTCTACAATATGATGACTGTATCTTCCAAAGAATCTTTTAATTCTTTGTGATGCAACAATCTACTTTGATTGTGTAAAAAGGAAACAAGAATTATTCTCCTTCAAAAGCAGAAGGAATGCTTTGGTTAATACAGGAATTTCAACTAACTACTCTGCCGCCCACACAGTTAGCCAGCTTCCCTGTCTCCATGATCTAGTATTCCAAGTTTAAGACTTGCCTAGGGCCCAACTTACATACACGTTTAGCAAACTACAATTTAGAGTAGGGCTGCAGGGAAAATACAGATTTTTATTTCTCTTTCTGGAGAAAAAGAAGTTTCCCCAACAGGTTATTTTGCTAATATGCATTTTCACATTTGAAGCAGCACAAGCCCTTGAAATGTCTCAACCCAGACCCGAACACAGACCCACCATATAAATGGGGCTGCTTGCAATAGCTGCCATTGCCCCGGCCAATGCTCCGGCCACAGTGGTCCGCAGAGGACTGATCCGTCCGTCGGAGGAGTGGATGTAGCCGGCCGTCTCGACCATCCCGTAGGTGCCCAAGCGGAGTCCGTTGAACCCAAACTGGTACAGCAGGGCGGGCATGAGCCCTCGCTGGAGAGCGGCTAAACCGTCCACCCGGCCGATGGTGTAGAAGGCGTGGAAGACGTTACGGTAATGGCGGGTGTAAGTGCCCGGGGCACGCAGCTCTCCTTGCAGCTGCATGCGAGTCTTCACCACTTCCAAGGGGTTGGTGAAGAGGCAGGCCCCACAGGCTGCCACACCGCTAAGGATGAAGTCCATTGTTGGGGTCTTCAATGGGCAGAATCCTTGGATGTTGTGTATGGGGCCAAGTAGGGGAAGAAGATCAGAAAGGAGGATGGAGGACAAGGAAGAAAGATAAGATGAAGAGGGAGGATGTAGGAGAAGGATGGAAGAGAAGGATGGAGGAGATAAAGGAGAGGGATGGCAGGAACTACGGAGGACAAGGATGGAGGTCAAGGATAGAAGTCAAGGTTGGAAGACAAAAATTAAGGAGAAGGATGGAGAAGTATGGTGGGGAAGGATGGAAGACAAGAATGGAGGTCAAGAATGAAGGATGGAAGGCACTATGGAGGACAAGGATGGAGGTCAAGGATGGAGGTCAAGGATGAAGGATGGAAGTTAATTATGGAAGAGAAGGATGGAAGAGAAGGATGGAGGAGATAAAGGAGAGGGATGAAAGGCACTACGGAGGACAAGGATAGAAGACAAGAATTAAGGAGGAGGATGGAGAAGAATGGCAGAGAAAGATGGAGAAGTATGAAAGACAAAAATGGAGGTCAATAATGAAGAGGAAGGGGAAGGGATCGAGCGTGGTCTAGTCCATGAGGTTAAGAATGAAGGGGAAGGATGGAAGTTAACTATGGAAAATAAGGATGGAAAATGAGGATGGAGGAGATAAAAGAGAGGGATGGAAGGCACTATGGAGGACAAGGATGGAGGAGAAGGATGGAGAAGTATGGTGGAGAAGGATGGAAGACAAAAATGGAGGTCAAGAATGAAGAATGGAAGTTAACAATGGAAGACAAGGATGGAAGAGAGGGATGGAGGAGATAGAGGAGAAGGATGGAAGGCACTATGGAGGACAAGGATGGAAGGATGGAGGAGGAGAATGGAGAAGAATGATAGAGGAGGATGGAAGACAAGAATGGAGATCAAGGATGAAGGAGAAGGATGGAAGTTAACGATGGAAAATAAGGTTGGGCGAGAAGGGTGGAGAAGATAGCGAAGGATGGAAGGCACTATGGAGGACAAGGATGGAGGTCAAGGATGAAATTTAAAGATGGAGGAGGTGAATGGAGAAGAAGGATGGAGAAGAATGGCAGAGAAGGATGGAAGACAAGAATGGAAATCAAGGATGAAGGAGAAGGATGGAAGTTAACGATGGAAAATAAGGATGGAAGAGAAGGGTGGAGGAGATACAGAAGGATGGAAAGCACTATGGAGGACAAGGATGGAGGTCAAGGATGGAGGTCAAGGATGGAGATCAAGGATGGAAGATAAAGATGGAGGAGGAGAATGGAGAAGAAGGGTGGAGAAGAAGGGCTGAGAAGGATGGAAGACAAGAATGGAGGTCAAGGATGAAGGAGAAGGATGGAAGTTAACGATGGAAGACAAGGATGGAAGATAAAGAGATGGAGGAGAAGGATGGAAGACACAACAGAAGACAAGGATGGAGGTCAAGGATGGAGGCGAAGGATGGAAGTCAAGAACAGAGAAGATAAGACTATGGGACTCCCTGGGGGAAAATGTTAAGGGACTCTAAGTTGCAAGCAGAAACTCTACAACTCCGACCCTATCAACCAAAGAGAGGATCCTGAACGAAGACTAAGGACAGAGTAACAAACACAAGAAAAGTTAAGACTGGGGTACATTCCCACACAAGAAGAAAGAGTAACGACATTTCCATCTATGGCAATGTCAACCATGGGGGTCAAATCAGGCACATCAAAAGCCCCTAAAAGCACAGGATGAGGGCATTAGGAGGAAGGGACAAGCGGAAGATGACAGATATTCCATTGTTTTCAATGGCAGGATGAAGGAAGGGAGAAGAAGAAGGGGGAATTCAATATCACCTTTGGAGATTTGGACTTCAGCTCCCAGAATTCCTGGCAGTTGATCAAACCGGCTGGGGATTCTGGGAGTTGAAGTCCCCTAAATACTTGGAGGATAGAAGGTTGGGGGCTACTGAACTAGAGCATCTAATGGAGGATGTGAATAGAAAAAGGGTTCAGGGGAGATATAAGCAGGGAGTAACGAGTAACGGCTGGAATGTAATTAGAAAAGCCTGAAAAAAGGATGAAATTGGAGGATCTTCTTCTTGATCGCCGCTGGAAACAGTAGATGGCAAAATCCGATAGAAAAATAATTAAGGAGACAGTCCCTCCATTCAAGGAAAGAGAGCCCGATCCGCACCTCAACCGGCTTCTCTCCGTCTGAGCCACTGCTGCCCTGGCAAGCCGACAGGCGCCGGCCGGCGTTCTAACCACGCCCCCAACCGACGCGCTTTGCCCAATGGCTGGACGGCTCCCTCGTGGCGTCACACGGGTGGACGGCGCTCATTGGGCGAGAGCGTAAATCGCCGCTACCTGCTTTGACGCACCTTGCCAGCGCGGTGGGCGGAGCCTCTTCTCCTCGCCTGACCCGCTAATTCCAACAGGGGTCCTCCAGGAACTTTGGACTTCAGCTCCCAGAAGCCTCAGGCAGATTGATCAACGGCTGGGGATTCTGGGAATTGAAGTCCAAAACCCCTGGAGGATCAGTTGTGTCGTTTGGCATCACATTAACTACAGAGGCAGCAGAAAGGCAGCAGATCACAGGAGCTGTCTTCATAGACCTGTCAGCAGCCTATGATACTGTGAACCACCGCCTCCTCCTGAGAAAAATGTATAATATCACAAAGGACTACCACCTCACCCGCCTCATAGGAAACCTGTTACAAAACAGGAGCTTTTTTGTTGAGTTCCAGGGCCAGAGAAGCAGATGGCGGAAACAGAAGAACGGCCTGCCTCAGGGGAGCGTGCTTGCTCCATCCATGTTCAACATCTACACAAATGACCAGCCACTGCCAGAAGGGACAGAGAGTTTCATCTATGCTGATGATCGTGCCATTACCGCTTAAGCAGGGAGCTTTGAGATGGTTGAACAGAAGCTCTCCGAAGCTCTAGGTGCTCTTACTGCCTATTACAGGGAAAACCAGCTGATCCCTAATTCATGTAAAACACAGACATTTGCTCTCACCTTAAGAACAGACAAGCATCCCGAACTCTGAGGATGACCTGGGAAGGGATCCCACTGGAGCATTGCAGCACACCCAAATACCTGGGAGTCACTCTGGACCGTGCTCTGACCTACAAGAAGCACTGCCTGAACATCAAGCAAAAAGTGGGCGCTAGAAACAACATCATAAGAAAGCTGACTGGCACAACCTGGGGATCACAACCAGACACAGTGAAGACATCTGCCCTTGCGCTATGCTACTCTGCTGCTGAGTACGCATGCCCAGTGTGGAACACATCTCACCACACTAAAACAGTAGATGTGGCTCTTAATGAGACATGCCGCATTATCACGGGGTGTCTGCGCCCTACACCACTGGAGAAATTACACTGCTTAGCCGGTATTGCACCACCTGACATCCGCCGGGAAGTAGCAGCCAATAGTGAAAGGACCAAGGCAGAGACATCTCCAGCTCATCCCTTGTTTGGTTATCAGCCAGCACGTCAACGACTTAAATCAAGAAATAGTTTTCTAAGATCTACAGAGACACTCGCTGGAACACCTCAGCAAGCGAGAGTCCAAAAGTGGCAGGCTCAACCTCCAATGGCTGATACCAAATGAGAGACTCCCCCGGGCACACAGAAAACTGGGCGACTTGGAAGGCGCTGAACAGACTGCGCTCTGGCACCACGAGATGCAGAGCCAACCTTCAGAAATGGGGCTACAAAGTGGAATCCACGACATGCGAGTGTGGAGAGGAGCAAACCACTGACCACCTGCTGCAATGCAACCTGAGCCCCGTCACATGCACAATGGAGGACCTTCTTGCAGCAACACCAGAGGCACTCCAAGTGGCCAGATACTGGTCAAAGGACATTTAAGCAACTACCAAACTCACAAATTTTGTATTTTGTCTGTTTGTTTGCTTTGTTCTGTTAGAAATGTAATATAATTTGACTGGTTGTCCTGACATGACAAAAAAAAAAACTGTGTAGATTAGGTATTGTCAAACTTTGGTCCTCCTTCCAGGTGTTTTGGACTTCAACTCCCACAATTCCTAACAGCCCAAAACACCTGGAGGACTGAAGTCTGCCCATGCCAGGTACAGATTCACTCTCTGAAAAGGAAGTGTCCGGACAACGTTTTTAACAAGGAGACACTATGAATTTATATTTTATTGATTTGTTTAGTTTTTATTGTATGTTAATTGAAGAAAAATAAAATATTTTTAATTGTATTTAATTGACATTGTAAGCATTGCATTTTGCCCTGTTAACCGCCTTGAGTCGCCTACGGGTTGAAAAAGGCGGTATACAAATATAATGGGAAAGAAAAAATTACTCCTTGTGTCCTTAAAGAAAGAAAGGGCTGAGAGTTGGGAAAAAGGGGCAGCAATGGCAACTGATATGAAACATCCCACAGATATATAACCCCACTTTCCTAGCTTCCAACAGACCTCACAACCTCTGAGGATGCTTGTCATAAATGCAGGCAAAACGCCAGGAGAGAATGCTTCTGGAACATCTCGGAAAACTCACAGCAACTTAACCTAGGCTACTGTTTGAATTCATTGCATAATTCATTTTTAATCCATAGGGTTCACTATTATCTGCCGTTTCAGATATCTAAGTAAACTTTAGGAAAGAATGCAGTGGATGGAAGGGATGCACTAAACCCTTTTGCCTTTCACTGTACGCATATTGTAGCTCATCTGAAATTCACTTTGTCCCTTGCCTGAAGAAAGTTCCAGAACTTTATTATATAATGTATGTCTATAGGCAGTATTGCCCAGGTGTTGTTGGGACTGCTGTCCACCTTTCTCCCTTCTCCAGCTCCGAGAAGGCCTACCTCACAATGTCTCTAGGCCGAGGGTAGGCAAACTTCAGCCTTCCACAATTTCTAACAGGCAGTAGGCTGTTAGGAATTGTGGGAGTTGAAGTCCAAAACACGTGGAAGGACAAAGTTTGCCCATACCTGCTCTAGGCCATGATAGCAAACTGAAATAACAGGTGGGCACTCTCTTTGTGGCCTTCCTCTTTCCAGATACCCTCATACATCGTCTTTCCTTGCTTTCCTTTATACACCTTCTTCTTCTTTTCTTCCTCTTCCCCTTTCTCTTCCCTCCCTTTCTTCCATTCCTCCCTCTTATTTCTTTTCTTCCCCCTCATATCTTTTCTACTTTCCTTCCTTCCCTTCATTTCCTCCCTTTTTTCACATTCCTTTCCCTTCTTTTTATTTCTTCCTTTCCTTCCTACACACCTACTAGCAGCCAAACGACTTCACTCTTACCCAGTAACATCACAGAGGGCCACTTCACCTAGCAACAACTTATCCTTTGCCTAGTCCAGTGGTTCTCAATCTGTGGGTCCCCAGGTGTGTTGGCCTACAACTCCCAGAAATCCCAGCCAGTTTACCAGCTGTTAGGATTTCTGAGAGCTGAAGGCCAAAACATCTGGGGACCAACAGGTTGACAACCATTGGCTTTTTTCATGTCAGGAGCGACTTGAGAAACTGCAAGTTGCTTCTGGTGTGAGAGAATTGGCCATCTGCAAAGACGTTGCCAGAGGACGTACAGATGTTTTGATGTTTTACCATTCTTGTGGGAGGCTTCTCTCATGTCCCTGCACTGGGAGCTGGAGCTGACAAAGGGAGCTCATCCACACTCTCCTTGGATTCGAACCTCCGACTTACTGGTCTTCAGTCCTGCCGACACAAGGGTTTAACCCATTGCGCCACCGAGGGCTCTGTCACCACTGGCTAGTCACAGACAATCTGCTTTGTTTTTTTTCCTCCCTTCTGCTTTGGACCCAAAACACGTAGTTTTTTTTTTTTAGCTCCAACCCATCAATTTGATAATGTGCCATGTTTGTTCTAGGATTTACCAAGCCACTTAGAAGCCTTTGCTGTATATACCAATCAACATACATACATATATACATACTTTTGCTTTCACATATAGAGATCCAAGCCCAATATCTCCCCATTCTTTTGGTCCCATGAAAAATATCATTCAGTGCTCCTTTTCTCATACCAAGAGAGTCCAACCGAAGCTTTGTTTTCCACTCCATTTTTATTTGGAATTAGAAAAGTCCACAGTCACCACGTGACCTACAGAGTTTGCATATTTTCTTTGTCAAACTTAAGTTTCCTTTTATTTAAATTTCCCCCCTCTACTTTTCATTTGTTTTCTTTTTTTAAGGCCAATAGTGTTCTCTGCTTAATTATTCTTTTATTATTTTTGTCAGTTCTTTGTATGTCTCCCCACAACCTTGCCTTCAGGAAAACAAAACAAAACACATGGTTACGCTGCCCCATTACAGTTTGTTTTCGATCACCTTGTCACGAAGACGCGGCAAAAAAGGGGGGTTCAGGGGGTACACAGGTGGAGTCACGATGCTTTGCTCGCATACCCATCTCATATACACACACGCACACACCGACACACTCACTCCAGAAGTCACAGTTTCAAATCTGAGGGGGAAAAATACAATGAGGACTAGGAACGGAAAGGAACAAAAAGAAAACCAAAACAGAAAAGCAAAGAGTGTTTTTGTCTCTTTGTTCAATGTTGCATATTTTCCCCTAATGTTTCAAAGCAAGTGCAACTTGGGAGGAAGACATGAGGAAGGGGAGGGAGTGTAATTAGGAGAGAAAAAAAATCAAGGAAGGGGTTTTTGAGGCTGAAAATGGGAAGGAAAGAAAGAAAAATCACGGACTCTACACTGTGCCATGGACGCGAAGAGGGAAAGGGAGCAGACTCAAGCCTGCCGGTTGCCAAAGTTTCTAAGTGCTACCTGCTTCTAAAGTATTTTTTTTTCTTTCTGCTCTTTCCCAGAGTCTGAAAATCTCGTGCTGAGATCAATCCTCATGCCAAACTCTCCCAGATCACATGAGGTTTGTGCCCAACTTTAGTCCTGTTCCAATGGTGCTGGCTCCAAATTCACTGGGTTGGTTTGCCAGGAAAGTGGAGGGAGAAAAGGGGGCACAGTCTCGCAGAGGGGAACTGTAGTAGAAATCTACCCCTCTTTGGACTTTGGAGCTCTCCCCTAAACCATTTCAGCCCTCTGGGAGCGTGTGGACGCATGCAGCCACCCCACATCTGGAAAAGGACGAAGTTGCGAAGGAGAGAGGAGGGATCTTTGACTACGTCCTTGGTCAGCTGGGAAGTGGGATGGGGTGTTATGGCCACATCCGGCTACGAGCTAATCATAATGCCCTGAAATTTGGCATAGAGAAGGGAGGGGGAAAGGGAAGACGCCAGCCCCAAGAGGCTGGCTTAACGTTTGTGTGCTTACAACCCGGCCCGCTTTGGCTCGACAGGAAGAAAAGGAAGAGGAAGGAGGGTGGGCTATGGCTTTTGACTGGTTAATGGATTGCACAGAGTCATGGGACGGAGGGAGTGTTGAGGAAGAAGAGGAAGAATCTGCCACATCCTGAAAGCAAGAGGAGGTCTGCAGGGAGCTGATGGCGCAAGGAGAGCCACCACGGTGCCCGAGGGAGGCCGGAGCCATGCCCGAGTAGCAGTTGCCTTGGGTCCCCCGTGCCGCCCGGATCTCAGTACTTCTTGGGGCCCCAGACAGAGGTCTGCTTGGGGACCACACCGGTGCCAAAGACAGGGAATTCTTCAGCACTGCTCACGTCTGGAGCCTGAAACCAAGTAAGAGAGGAATCAGTTAGGACGTTCATGGAAAAGGGCCCAGAATTAGTATTGCTTTTGGGACTAAAATTTCAAGGTGACCCCACACTGGTGTTGGGAGGTGAACATGTTTTGCTTCGTATGTAGCTTGGTTGAAATAATTAAGTGGGAAAAAGTGGGGGTTCTCATATTTTCTGCACTAAATTGTCTATGGAGCATGACCACCTCTGCAAAGAAGTCAGCTTCTCTTCAGCACTCCACTGACTATTTCTCTGGGGTCATCCATTTCTTCAGGAGTCTAGAGAATAGTGCTACTTCCAAAGAGAAGTGTCAGAAATATTAAAAATTAAACTGGGTATTTTTGATTACAAAAGTGTGAGTCAAGCACTGAAAGAGTTAGCAGGCCAAAGCCTGTTGGAGTCAGTGGGCCAAAGCTAGTGTCTTCTGAGGAGAGTGAGTAGGCCGAAGCCTTTTAGAGTCAGTGGGCCAAAGCTAGTGTCGTCCTGAGGAGAGTGAGTAGGCCGAAGCCTTTTAGAGTCAGTGGGCCAAAGCTAGTGTCGTTCTGAGGAGAGTGGTAGGCCGAAGCCTGTTAGAGTCAGTGGGCCAAAGCTAGTGTCGTTCTGAGGAGAGTGAGTAGGCCGAAGCCTTTTAGAGTCAGTGGGCCAAAGCTAGTGTCGTTCTGAGGAGAGTGACTATGCCGAAGCCTTTTAGAGTCAGTGGGCCAAAGCTAGTGTCGTTCTGAGGAGAGTGAGTAGGCCGAAGCCTTTTAGAGTCAGTGGGCCAAAGCTAGTGTCGTTCTGAGGAGAGTGACTATGCCGAAGCCTTTTAGAGTCAGTGGGCCAAAGCTAGTGTCGTTCTGAGGAGAGTGAGTAGGCCGAAGCCTTTTAGAGTCAGTGGGCCAAAGCTAGTGTCGTCCTGAGGAGAGTGAGTAGGCCGAAGCCTATTAGAGTCAGTGGGCCAAAGCTAGTGTCGTCCTGAGGAGAGTGAGTAGGCCGAAGCCTGTTAGAGTCAGTGGGCCAAAGCTAGTGTCGCCCTGAGGAGAGTGAGTAGGCCGAAGCCTATTCGAGTCAGTTGGCCAAAGCTAGTGTCGTCCTGAGGAGAGTGAGTAGGCCGAAGCCTGTTAAGAGTTAGTGGGCCAAAGCTAGTGTCACCCTGAGGAGAGTGAGTAGGCCGAAGCCTGTTAAGAGTTAGTGGGCCAAAGCTAGTGTCGCCCTGAGGAGAGTGAGTAGGCCGAAGCCTGTTAGTCAGTTGGCCAAAGCTAGTGTCGTCCTGAGGAGAGTGAGTAGGCCAAAGCCTGTTAGAGTTAGTGGGCCAAAGCTAGTGTCGTCCTGAGGAGAGTGAGTAGGCCGAAGCCTGTTAGAGTCAGTGGGCCAAAGCTAGTGTCGTCCTGAGGAGAGTGAGTAGGCCGAAGCTTGTTAGAGTCAGTGGGCCAAAGCTAGTGTCGTCCTGAGGAGAGTGAGTAAGCCGAAGCCTGTTAGAGTCAGTTGGCCAAAGCTAGTGTCGTCCTGAGGAGAGTGAGTAGGCCGAAGCCTGTTAGTTAGGCCAAAGCTGGTGTCGTCCTGAGGAGTGTGAGGTAAACCTCTGTGTGAGAGAAGCCTCGTGTGAGAAAGCTCCAGTGTGAAGGCTGCTGTGTGTAAAGCTAATGTGTATTTGTTTATTTGTGTTAAAAACCTAGTTCTTGTGTTAAAAATCTAGTTCTTGTAAATAGTGCAACCCGGGATATAAAAGTTTTAAATAAATAAATAAATTTTTATTCCTTTTATCGCTTTGGCCTACTGGTGCTGGGTCACACTGCTGCTAATAAGTTACTCTGCTGTACATTTATGAGGAGGGTCTTTTGTTAATAAGCCCACTCGCCCAACAGTAAGCAAAATTTAATTCCTTCTTACAGGGAATTATTTTCAGGCCAATGTGTGGCTGCTAAGAACTTTGCAGATACAAAATGAGTTTGTTTTTCCCTCCCACTTCCTTTTGACTCAGACTCCCTCCTTGTTGGGTCATGTCTTTCATGCACTAAGTCTGAGGGGCTGGGACCTTAAAATTTGGTCTGTTAAGTTGTATTGCGAATGAGGTATAAAAACTTCAGCAAGCTTGGTACTAATGGTGCTTTGTATGCTCTGCTTTGCCTTTGAGTAAAGGAAGACTTGGGAGTGATTCTGAGCCAGACCTTGTTCCCAGATGCGTTCCAGGGAGCATCCCGCACCACAAAACCCTTGGCGGGGCCCCGCGGCTCCTCTTCCAAGCGTGAGGGGGGCTTCATATATGCAGCCATCGTTTCTGTCTCCACCACATCCATCATCTGCAAGAAGACAGAGGCTTATAAGATTGGAGGGACCTATTGTAGAACAGGGCCGAGGAACTAGAAACCCTCACAATCTTTGCTGAACTACAACACCCACTATGACCTACAAAACCCTATATATGGCTTTGGCTTGGATTTTCCATCAACTTTTGTTAATGTACTGTGTATCCTAAAATGTAAGACCAGTTTTTCAGCCCTTTTTTAGGCTGGAAAGCCCCCCCTTAGCTGATACTCAAGTCAAGGTTATTTATTATTTTACTCTGTTATTATTTTATTACATTTATTATTTTACATCATTTATTGTTATTATTACATTTATTATTTTACACTATTACTATTATTACATTATTTTACTCCATTATTATTCTTATTATTACATTTATTTCTACTCAATTTGTTATTGTTATTATTCCATTTATATTTTACTCTATTTATTTATTTTATTTTTTTATGTTATTATTACATTTACATTATTTTACTCTTATTACTATTTTTATTATCACATTTATTATTTTACTCTATTATTATTGTTATTATTACAATTCCATTATTTTACTTTATTATTATTTTTATTACATTTATTATTTTACTCTATTTGTTATTACCGGAAGGATACGTAAGCATTTACATTGAAGAAGGTTTGAATAAGGATTTAATCAGAGTTGGACAGTCTTATCTTAAATTACAGTTTTATGTAAATATTCAAAACATTAACCTACTGATGCCTCAATTAATTTTATTGGTGTCTATTTTTATTTTGAAATTTACCAGTAGCTGCTTCGGCTTATACTCGTGTCAATATGTTTTCTAGTTTTTTTGTGGTAAAATTTGATGCCTCGTCTTATATTTGGGTCAGCTTATACTTGAGTAAATACAGTATTTATATTTTTGCATTTATATAGTTACATGTTGTTGCCTTTCAAAATGCTTCAAGTTTTGAAAAGTTGGTCTGTGAACTAATCGAAATGCTGTTAAGTTTTTTTTTTTAGCTATAAATCTGTCTGTCAAAGAATGGATACTAGGTACAAAGTTAGTAAGGGGGAAGATCTCAAAGTCACTCTACTAGCTCTGCAGATATGAAAACACCCACACCGCCACCAAGAAATATCCCTTTTTCTCACATATTCCTCTTCCAAGTTCAGCATGTGGTCAATCGCGTCGTCAACGTTTTCAGGCAGCCCTGTCACCGTGACTCTGTCAGGGTCACTAGAGCCCGGCTGAGGGAAGCGGATATCCACCTGTCGAAAAGAAAAACTTTCTTAGAAAACAAGGCAGGACAACTGATGGAGCAGAGTACCCCCCAATGAATGTTCACTATCAAAGATGGCAGATGGGACTGAAGGCCATCTTCCTTGAGAGTTCTGGTATTGCCCAAAAAATGAACTCTTCCTTGCTGCAGACAGGATAAGCAAATTCTGGCAAATAGTGAGAATTTGAAGCTTTGTTGCCCAGAATTTATTTCAACCATGGAAGGACTGGACACTTCTTCTCCCCTTGAATATCACTTTATGCTCCACCTTTTAACCATCTGTACCACTTCTGGCCCCTACCCGGAATTCTTCCATGAGTTTGCGGATGGATTTTCCTCTCCCACCAATGATACGGGCGTGGACTCGGTGATCCAGACGAATGTCCTCACTGACCATCTCCTCCAAGTCAGCAACGATTTTAAGGATGGCATCCCGGGCTCCTTCAGCATTTTTCTCATAACCAGTGATTGTGATAAGGTCCTAAAGTGGAAGGCAGGACATTGATTGAACTTGATTGACACATAGCCAAATAACAGGGCATCTCGGGTGAATCACTATTTGTTTCTGCTTGCTGGATACCAGAAGCCCCCATAGCCGTTTTCACATGCCTCCTGAAAATAGGTGCATTTTTGTTCCGCATCCAAAAAAAGCATCTCTTTTCAGCCCACTGGCGACAATGGGAACTTATGAGGCTCCCCGCTCCCCTTTCCCCTGGGAGTCTTTCCTTTCTTCCCTTCAAGGGAGCCTGGATATCAGCAACGGGGCTAAGAAAGCACCCTATCCAGCCCATTATGGGTAGGGGACTTCTCATGGACTCCCCTTCCATATATTTCATTAAGACCTAGATTTAAAAAAACATCAGATTTAAGATACCACTCTTTCTGGATCCTTTCCCTTCTGTTAGTAGAGGAGACCTGGTTTAATGCTTCTTAAAGTTGTTTCTACTCTAGAGGAGAGTCAGGCACACACACTTACTCTCCCCAGCAGCAGCCACACAGTTTTAGGCATTTTAGGTAGGAACAGTGATGACCTGGAGCTCAGTGGAGCTATCTTCCCTGGACTACCTTAAAAATCCCCTCTGCTTTCTCTACTGCCTGCAATCTCCTTTCTGCTTGGGCTATTGCTTACTTAAAGCTGTTTCTACTTTCTACTCTAGAGGAGAGGTAGGCTTCTCTTTTTGTTTGCTGAAATTACTATTATTAATAATAATTATTATCTTTTAGAAGTATTTTCTGAAGGAGAGGAAAGGAAGGGGAAAAAAACCCTAAAAGGGTGACTCCCTAAGCTCCCAAACGCGCATGCGCACACACCACCCACTGTCCCTCAGGTCCCCAACTCCCAGGCAGTCCCACTAAATAAAAAGAATCGGGAAAATAAAGGAAAACCAAAAAGATTCAACGGTGATGCTGAACAGGGGAGGAGGAGCTGTGACCGGTTGCCACATAGTGCCTTTTCGGATGGGAATCCATGGTGGATGGATCCTTGCTGTTTCGAGCACCCGAACAAAGCAGAGAAGCCAGATTGGCCAAAGGAAGGGCTAAAAACAGATCCGGGCTCAAGTCTACTAAAACCCAAAACTTCACATGTCTTCTAAAAGGAAATGATTGACAGATAAGCCCTGAAGGATCTAAAGTTCTTAAAAGATCTTTTTAAAAAGGTCAAACTTTTATATTCACTAACACATTAGAGAAAGAAGTTGGTACTATAAGTCTACCTACTGAGATGCATGTGAGGAAGCAGACTTGGTCTATGTTACCAATGTCTTTCTCGCAGTTAGTCTCAAGACCCTTTACAAACTGACAGTCCACATTAACATGGCTAGGTCTTTGAATTCTACTTTTTTTTCATGTGAGAGAATGTTTTATCGATACTTGAACTTCACTCATTTTCTTTGGAATGACTCAGGGAATGCCCAACCGCTATCTGGACATTAACCATCAAGTGGTTTTACGAGAAAGAACAGGATGGATTTCCCGCACTCTTGAAAAAGAAAGGTCAGATCTAATTTTGAAACCAAGCCCTTGTTTTGTCCAATAGAAAACCAGTCCAGGATGAATGTTGAAATGACCTTTGGCCACCTTTCCTCTGTAACCAGTCCGCCCACACCCCGGGGACAATGACTCCACAACTGAAGGTGACTGATTCTCCCACCTGATTCTCATCTCCTTTGTCCGGGAACTGGATGGTGACATCGTGGTCCTTGCGTATCTGGGAAATGACTGCCCCTTTCTTTCCAATGATCTTAGGGTGGTACTTGGGTTCGACACTCACCATCAGCTTGAAGCCCCGCAAGGCCTGGAAGGAGGAAGTAACTAGAAATTACTGGCAGGACAATGTGTTGTCACTCAATACCATACTGTGTGAAAGGGAAGGGTCTTGGCAGGCTTTGCCCAGGCAGTACCCGATCCTCCTGCTCAGCTTGCAGTTCTTTGACCCTCTCGAGAAGACCGGCTCTGGCCCGCTCCACGTTTGAGACCAGGCCCGTGATCTTGATAATATCCGACTGCTGCTCAGGCTGCGGAACGGAGATATTGACCTGTGGAACAGTGGAAAACAGCGAGTCAGCTTGATGTAGCCGTTCGTGTTGGACTTGGAATCCACATTCAGCCATGGAAACCCACTGGGAGACCTTGAACAAGAGAGGTATACATTCCCAACTTGCACAAAAGCAAGAGGTATACTTTCCCAACTTGCACAACAGTGGCATCATGAGGAAGGGGAATGGCTATCAAGGAAAACCAAGCTGAAAACATGTCAAAATCACTTCCCGACTGTCTTAAGACAGTATCTGGAATCATTTAAGGACAATGTAATGTCAAAGGCTTTCGTGGCTGGAATCACTGGGTTGTTGTAGGTTTTTCAGGCTGTATGGCCATGTTCTAGAAGCATTTTCTCCTGACGTTTCGCCTGCAGCTATGACAGGCATCCTCTGAGGACCACACAACCTCTGAAGATGCCTGCCATAGATACAGGCGAAACGCCAGGAGAGAATGCTTCTAGAACATGACCATACAGCTAGAAAAACCTACAACAACCCATTTAAGGGCAATTTTAATGGTGGTGCAGTGTGACCCCTTTCCAAGGTCTCCTGGGAGACTACTGTGGTCTCCTCACTTCCCATAGCTGCCCATCCCTATTCACCACCATGTAAAGTCTTTCCAAGTCAACACCAGTTTTGGGACTAAGATATGTTCTATTTGACCCCTACCTCATATTCCTCCATCATTTTACGAATGCCAGCTCCCTTCTGCCCAATGATGTAGCGGTGCAAATCATAGGGGACATCCACATCCATCGTGATGGGCACCAGAGCCTGGAAAGGAAGAATGGAAAGCAGATTTAGGGGTGCAATTTTAGAGTTTTTCTTGCTATTCATGCAAAAAGCTATACAGTCAGCCATCCATATTTGCAGGTTCAAGTTCTGCCAATTAGATTACAGATGGCTTTCTGTATACCTGGATTCTGCACTCATAAATTCAACCAACCCTCTTTCAAAAATATATTATTTTAATGCTATGTTTTGTCATTTTATATAAGGGACATCCTTTTAGGGCCCCCTGGTGGTGCAGTGGTTAAACTGTTGAGCTGCTGAATTTGCTAACTGAAAGGTGCTCATCTCCATTTCTAAGCCGAAGAGCTGGCGTTGTCCATATACACCTCTAAGGTCATGTGGCCAGCATGACTGCATGGATGCGTCATTACTTTCCCACCAAAGTGATACCTATTGATCTGCTCACATGTGCATGTTTTCAAACTTCTAGGTTGGCAGAAGCTGGAGCTAACAATGAGAGCTCACCCTGTATGTGGATTCGAACCATCGACCTTCCAATCAGCAGATTAGTGGTTTAAACTTGATCATGATAACATTAATGTTAATAATAATAATAATAATAATAATAATAGAAGAAGAAAAAGTAGTAGTAGTTTATTTTTCTACCCCGCCTCCATCTCTTCAAAGAATCGGGGCGGCTTACATGGGGCCAAGCCCAAAATAATATACAATTAAAACAAGGCAAATAAAAATTAAAACCACATATAACCGACATCATGAAAATAATAAAACGTTGTAAGAAACAACCGGAAATACTTCAAGTCTCATCTTGGGCTGGCCCACTAGAAGGCTCTTCCCCCACCTCAGTATAAATAGGGAAAGGCTTCCTACCAACAGTGCTGCCCGGGCTGCTTCACATTTCTCCTTGCGCCCCGAGATGAGGATGATGTCACATTTGCGAGGGACAGAGTCCAGCTCGGGGCTCACATCGCCATTTTCCTGAGTCTGTGCTTCTGGACCTGTGGATAAAAGGCAATGGCAGGGGAGAGGTGAGGTACAGAAATTGAGGTCCTTGTAGGACAATCCTGAGTGTGGAACCACTAAGCCATCTTCCACTCCTAACACACAAACCTGAATTGTCATCTCGCTCCGGGAACTTGATCAATACATCATGGTCCCGAGTGATCTGTTGCACCTTGTACCCTTTGGCTCCCATGACCACGCGGTGGAAGCGCTGAGGGATGACACACTCCAGAACCACCTGGGCCTCCTGGGGAAAGAGGGGAAACCAAAAAGTGGATTATGGTTCAGGGTATGGCTTAGGGCCGTGATGGTCAACCTATGACACACGTGTCAGCACTGACACGCATGGCTATTTTTGATGACCCGGAATACAGAGAAGTACACCTTATAAGAGCCAATCTAATTCCATCCTTAAATTTGTAAAAGTCTCTAAATTTAACATCTGCACATTTGAGCATTGTTCACTCCATAACTCAGCATGGATTATATATTTTTCTTATTTAAACTATAAATATTGCAAAATTATGGTGTGTTTTTCTCTCTCGAAGTGACACCCCACCCTAGTTATGCTCAGGTTTTTGGGGAATTTTGACACATCAAGCTCAAAAGGTTGCCCATCACTTAGGGCAAGGAAAGAAGCACAGTTACTTATAGCATGTTCAACATTTAACACAGGAAGTGGGGAAGAGGTAATAAAGATCAATGGAAGATAGTGGTATTCATATCAATGAGATGTGGCGTGCAAGTGTGGAGGACAGCAAACCACAGACCACAGACTTGTGTTTTAAATATATTTTAACTGTATCCTCAATTCACTTCTGACATGATAAATTAAAAAAATATCAATGAGGTGTTGAATTCATTTCAGCTTTAGTCTGGATTATCCAAGATGTTGATCCATATCCAAAGAATAAGTATGACACCTTGGAAAACTCCCTTAAATTTCAAATTAAAACTCAGCAGGTTTATCTCACTGATTTGGAAGCTCCCAGGTAGCACGGCTATAACGTTGGAGTCAACAACCAATAATAACAACTCCAACATTGACATCTGGGAAAAATATGTACCAGGTCACTGATGATTTCCAGAATGCGTCTCTTGGCAGCCTCCACACAGTCCTTCGCCCCCTTTAGTGTCACTCGGTCACTCTGAACCCCGGTCCGGGGAAAGCTGACAGTCACCCCGCCATACTCTTCCGCAATCTCCCGCAGGACATGCCCTCGGCGTGCCACAAAATGGCGGTGGTATTTGGGGTCCACCAGCATCCAATCTTCAATGACATTATCCTGGGGTGGAAGAGACAAGGTTTTTGGTGAGGAGAGAAAACTAAAATGGGCAATTGTGCTGAGTCCAAGATTACCAAGAATTACACCCAAAGTCGCAACCCTTTCAAATGCTGCAGTAGCAATGGAAGGAAATGTTTAGCTTCATTTCAGTGGGAAAGGGGAAAATGATGGAACTTGCTCCTTTCCATTCCTCAGGTGGGAGAAATGAGTTAGTGAGGTTTCTTCCACAAACCTACTTGGGACCAAGTGCCATTTAGTCTTCTCATACCCACCCCTTATCCTTCTCCTCTTGGTGAATATAAATACCAGGACACTGCACTGGCCCTGAGTCCCTATAAATCATGCCAATTGCCCTCCACTATTTAAGGGACTCGTACCAGGTTCCGGATGAGGTTCTCCAACTCATACTGGGCTTGCCGCACTGACTCCTCCTTCCCCACAATGGTGATGAGTTCCTGGTCCTTGTCTTCGGCGGTGGGAAAGATGATGCGGGCCCCGGTGCGGTCCCTCACCTTGCGGATATTTGCACCTCCACGCCCAATCAGAAACTTGTGGTACTCTGGCTTGGCATGCAGTTCCACTGAGTGGTTGTTGATTTGCTGGAGGGAAGGGTGGCAAAGAAAAGGCATACAGTCGGTCCTCCACATTTGCAAATTATAATTATTTGCAGATTTGATGAATACGCTTTCTCTAGGAGTCAAACTGCAGGACCTAGGTTTCTAGAGAGAACACCTCTCCAGGCATTTGTAGGTCCTCCCAGTTTGATTCTACGGTCAACTTCTGGCAGAGCTTGACCAGAGTCTCACCCTCTACAAATGTCTACAAATGCCTAGACAGGTTCTTGCAGATAAAAAAAAAATAGTGGTTTTCCACCTTCAGAGGGATCCTGCGCCCCTAATTTATTTACTTTATTTATTTACTTTATTTATATACCGCTTTTCTCAGCCCTCAGGCATCTCAAACCCTGGTGAACCCTAACCCTAAACCTAGTGAATGTGGAGGGACAGACTATACTAATTAGTGCTTCGAAACTACTTTAACCTATCATTCTTACACCAATGCTGACACCCTTCTGATACCAATTTCAGGAAATACATCAAATACATCAAGAACCAATACTGCCTGCATGATTCCAATAAATAATATTTACACAAAGGCTATTTTCTTCAGAGCATAGCAGTCTTTTCCCATCCAGTGGGTTTACAATCTTTCTTTTCAACTTCATTTGCCCATCAGTTCAAAATAGGGGGCCGTACAGCTAAGCTGTAGAAGGTCTGCGGTTTGAACCCGGGGACAGGGTGAGCTCCGGTTATTAGTCCCAGCTTCTGCCAAACTAGCAAATGTGAGTAGATCAATAGGTACTGCTCTGGCAGGAAGGTAACAGCGCTCCATGCAGTCATGCCAGCCACATGACCTTGGAGGTGTCTATGGACAACGCCGGCTCTTCACCTTAGAAATGGAGCTGACACCAACCCCAAGAGTCGGACATGACTAGACTTAATGTCAAGGGGAAACCTTTACCTTTACCAAAATAGGCCGTGAGCCACAGATGTATGTGTGTGTGTATTCTACATCTGTCTTTCAATATGGAGCTTGGCTGGTTAGATCTGGGGTGCATGATGCAAGGTTTGACCTCTAGCATCTTTGTGCCATTTTGCAACACAAGGGAGATGTTAACAAACCTGAGATTTATAGTTTTATGAAGCACTTAGCCATATGTTCATGAGAGAACACAGGGTGGGGCTATGGCATCTAAAATGCTACCAAAGTGCTCTTAATGTGGACACATCCTGGGCTGAAAGTTCAAGAATAGTTTATTCAGCCAAGGCGAGGTTTCCTGTTTTGCTGTCCAAGGATGTAGCCCTACCTTCCAATTCTTGACGTGTTGCCAAGAGAATCAACGGCAAAAGGTTTTCCCTGAGGATTTGCTGAGAATAATTTGAAAGGGAATTTACATATAGCACAGATGAGGTACTTCAGACCGTTTTAAGGAACACTTCACTTTTCTTTCATACCATTTCCTCATCTTTTGTATGTTTTCTCCATTCTAAAACTCTGAAATACTTCTCCTAATAAGTATTAAGAACCTCAAGGTAAACTAGGCCAGTATTCTCAACCCTGCATTTCTGCTTTGGAGTGTAGCCCGGGAACCTTTAATTTGTCACTGAAATGGAAACAGATGCTGCAGTCTTGGTGTACAGCTGGGTGCTCAGTAGCCCAATCCTGTCCAAATGGCATTGGCCTACAACTTCCTTACACATTTTACATTGGGTTACAAACACTGATCATTCCAAAATCCAAATGCAAAAGGATTTTAGTTAACAATTTTGTACAAGTTGATTTCATCTACTAGCATCACTTAATTTCAGAGATTACCCTTTATTTATCCGTGATATTTAAAAGAGATAATCACATTTCTCTCAGAATAGAAAGGGAATCTGGGAATGGCAAGTAAGATGGACCACAAAAAGGCATCCAAAATGCACCTCTGCCAACTCCCATCAAGATAAATCTGATAATGATTTTATACCACTCTGTGAAGCTGTCATATTTTCACAAGAATGCTGCCCGGCCTGAAAAACTAGATTTCTTGTGTAGTGAATTCCAAATATAGGTCTCTTTACCTGCCCTTTCCCTCGAGATACTTTCTAAATTACATTATTTTTCTTCTTGTGGTGATCCCTTTATTAAACTAATCAAAAGACACAAAATGTATCATGCTTTTGAAAGCTTCTGCATCGAACAAAGAGGATTAAAAATTCAAGCAAAGGAAAGGAAGAGATTCTGTTGAAGTCAGGATGTTTTTTAGGAAGTGCTGCATCAACAAAAAGGTTAAGCTCTCCTCATAAGTTGATGGGAAAGGCACAGAAAGAGAAGTTTCGCTTTGTGAGCTTTACACACCAATATAACACAGCCTGTGCCTTTTAGTTAACCTGATATACAACACACCACAAGGCAGACTTTGGATTTTCCTGTATTTCTATGGTCAACAGAGCTTCATCTGAGATTACTTTTCCTTTTTACTGCACAACTCAAAGTGGTGATAAATGAATTTCCAAAAGGTCTCCAATCCAGGCACTTTTTTTTTTTGTTGTTGTTGTGTCAGGAGCAACTTGAGAAACTGCAAGTCGCTTCTGGTGTAAGAGAACTGGCCATCTGCAAGGACGTTGCCCAGGGGATGCCTGGATGTTTTGATGGTTTATCATCCTTGTGGGAGGCTTCTCATGTCCCCACATGGGGAGCTGGAGCTGATAGAGGGAGCTCATCTGCGCTCTCCCTGGATTCGAACCTGTCGGTCTTCAGTCCTGCCAGCACAGGGGTTTAACCCACTGCGCCACCGGGAGCTCCTTATCCAGGCACTGATCAGACCCGGAATCTGCCTTAAAGAGTAGCTGCATCAAAAACCTTCAAGACAACATCCTAATATGTGAAACATCAGTATGCAAATGGATCTTGTAGTGCTTTAGAGATGATGAAGTTGGTAGCAAAAATGTTTGCAGACTAAATCTACTTCTACAGGTACATCTAAGGTGCTACAAGAGGCGTTTGAATACAGCTATTCCAAGCTTACATGGCTAAGTCTTTGAAATCTGCCAGAGTATGAAATGTCCAAGACACAGCAATGAAAAGAAAAGGCTGTGTTGGAAACTTTGTCTATCTTGTTACCAAATAAACAAATGGCCATCTGATAAGACAGGACTAGGAAAGCTGTGACCAGTTTGTGTCCAGGTCATAATCCCCACAACCCTCCAAAGGATTGGGGAGAGATGGCAATCACCCCAAAATAGTAAATCATCACCCTAGGAGTGGTGAAAACATTACAGAGTTCTACGAAACAGTCCCAAATATTAGCAGCCTGCAGTGAAGAATATCACTTTCCCCTGCTCCAGGGTTGGCCACCTCTGCTTGAACAGCACACAGCATTTGTACCTTTTCTTCTGCAAGCTGCAGAAGCTGGCGCTTGGCTTTCTCCACCTCTTCGCCGGGACCCCGAATGGTGACTTTGTCGCTGCCTGAGCCTTCCGAAGGGAAGTGGATGTGCACCCCGCCACACTCCTCCATGATGGAACGCACCAGCCGGCCCTTGGCCCCGATCAGGGAATTGTGCAGTTTGGCTGGAATGGAGACGTCCACTTCTTTTATGTTAGCCTAGGAAGAAGAGGCAGGGAGAAAGAGGGGAAGAGCACAAAGAGCTACAAAATTCTCTATGTTGCTACATGTTATGTTCTTAAGCAGAATTTGTTGGCACCTGACTAAAAGAATTTGACAGAAATGTGTAAAGGGATTTATTTATTTTGTCAAAAGCACTGATAAATAAATAAGTATAAAACTGATAAAATAAAGCAGCTAAATAATTTTAGTTCAAAAACGGGCAACAGTGACCAAATTTCCTGTAGCTTTAAACAATTCTTCCCCTGTGCATGAGGCAGAGTGTTGTGGGCAAGCATACAGATACTGAGTTGTTTGTTCTGCTCCACAATCACACCAGATGGAGGATTCTTCTAGGTCAATGGTTCCCAACCGGTGGTCTGTGGCCAACTAAAATATAGTCCGCGGCCTCATTGTTACTACGCTGTTGCAACGAGAGAGACTGGTCTCATGAAACCATAGTGCTGAAGCTTATTAAACATGGTTTTCTGTGGGCGAGCAGATGGTGAATACTGGATGGCATATGTTCTGTATCAGAAACTAGAGCTGATGTGGTCTATCCAATGCAATTTTCTAAATCAGAACCCTAAATAACCAAATTGAATCTACTGAGTTGTTTGTTCTGCTCCACAGTCACACAAGGTGGAGGATTCTTCTAGGTAGTGTCATTTTGCCAGGTTGTCTTTTGATCTGCCCACTCCACTTCTGAGTCTGTTCAGGAACTTCCAAGTTGCCCATTCTTGGTTTGACCCTGGGGAAGACCCTCGTAGGGTTGGAATTGCCTGATTTTTCTGCCCACAGGGATATTCAAAGTGCTGGCTTTGGCCTATAAAGCCCTAAACAGCCCCGGCCCAAATTGCCTGTCCAAACGCATCTCCCCCTATGAGCCGTAGCAAACTAGGATTTTGCGAGAGCAAACTGTGCCAGCACGAGCGATGCTCCGCCTCTTTCTCCGCCTCTTTCCCTTTGCTAGGGCAGCGTTGCGAGCATACGCTCGTGCCGCAGCAAACTACAGGAAGCTTGCGCTCGGGCTTGCTCCGAAGCCCCGCCTTTTTTCCCCCCGAGGCTGCTCTCTCTCTTGCTAGCGTGCCTGTTTTCTGAACTTTGCTTACTGGGACCAATGGATGATCAAGAGCAAATATGAAATACTATAATATAATACAACTTCTTCATCCTCCTCTGCTCCAAACTGGAACTTATTGAACCTGTGTGAAACTTAACCTAACCAAGTCTCCTGGCTCCCTTGGTTAAATCACAGTTTGCTAACCAGTTTACTAAGACAGGGATGAGCATCAAACTCACATCTTGATATCTGACAGTTCTCAAGCCATATGCTGATTTTGATCCAAACTTTAAGGAAGGTGAACATATTTAGGGGGAAATGTCTAGCACCTTGGACATAAAGTGGACACAAAAATAAAATATCCAAACCAGTACAAGGAATGTGGATAGTGGGAAAATGTATAGAGAAGATGCCTATCCTTTGGCTTAATTCATGAAGGAACACTGTGCCCAAAACAGACCATGCCTGCAATATTTAGAAGTATTCCAGTAAAAGTAACAGTCAAATATAGCTTTGAATATCATGTTTAAACCATACTAAGTGCACTTTATTGATTTCCCCCCTCTGCCTTGCAAAAATAATTCAGTTCAAACTACTTTTGGCAATGGGGAAGAACTTTATACACTACATAAAATTAAAAGCGCATATTTATATGTTCAGTGACAAATGTGAAAAGCAGCCAGCTAACCAAACAAGCGCATTATCTTCCATAGGAATATTTTAAGCAAAGCTCTAGCCCAGTGGTTCTCAACCTGTGGGTCCCGATGTGTTTTGGCCTACAACTCTCAGAAATCCCAGCCAGTTTACCAGCTGTTAGGATTTATGGGAATTGAAGCCAAAATATCTGGAGACCCACAAGTTGACAACCGCTCTAGATGCCATCATAGGAAAGTGCTTAAACGGGTTGGGTTTAGGGGATCCAAATTCAATTTCCCACTAAGCAATGAAATCCACAGGGGTGTCGTTAGGCATGTCATTATCTTTCTCAATTGATCTACCTCACAGGGCTGTGTGAGGATAAACTGAGAAAGAGGAGAAAACTTAAGTTCCACTGAGCTCACTGGGATGTAGAGCCAGATCAGTATTGCATGTAACAGTAATCGACCCTAACCTCAAAAAGCAAACACATCCAGAAAAGGCTATGTCGATAATAGCTACCAGTAAAAAGAATACTTTCTTTGGGAATGAACAGGCTTTTAAAAGGAGGAAACTGCTTCACACACCCACCAGCTCCCTCTGGATGGCCAGGATGCGGTCCCGGGCACCTTCGCAGTTGACCTTCTTCCCAGTTATCAGGATCACCTCTGAGTTGCTGTTTTCTGTGGGGAGGTCAATCTTGGTATTGGTTTCCTCTCGAATCTATTGTGAAGAGATAACATCAAACCCCGGACCCTCAAGGCTAGGCTACTGTAATGAACTTTATAAGGAGCAACCCTTGGAGACAGTTTGAGAGGTGAAACCCAGTGAAAGACCGGTGACAGATTGGGCCTCAGACGTTGTAAAGGAAATCCCATTGGATGCAAGTTAACTTCCTAGAGTATTTCAGCAATTGAACCCTGAATCCCCCAAAAGGGCAGGATACCACATGGAAGTCTATAACAAGGAGCCTTTGGAAGTTAAAGGTGGGCAAAAAAGTAACTGAAAGGTTAAAGACTGAAAACTTGATTTAACTTCCTAGAGTAATGATTCCCTAACTTTGGACTTCCAGTTGTTTTGAAGTTCCAGAAGCCCTAGCCAGTTGATCCAGTGGTCAGGATTTCTGGGAAATAAAGTCCTAAACCCCAGATAATCACAGTTTAGAAGCCACTGTCCTAGAGTATATTATCCACAAAATTACATGCTAAATCTGGCTGACTCATTTCTGGATTTTGGAAGAGTGTTTTTTGACCACAGCTATCAGAATCCTCTAGTCATCAGAGTGGAGACTTTGGGAATATGTTGTCAAAGAAGCAAGCACTATCCATTTCTAGGCAGAGACATACTTTCTCGAGAAACTGTTTCCTTCCAGAGGAAGCAGGAAACACCTGGCCCCAAAATCCACAAACAAAACCAGAGAAGCCCAGTTGTATAGTGTTCAAGGAGGGGAGAGGTGTCTGGGAGGGCCATACACTTTTTACCTTTTTGATGTTGGCGCCTCCTTTCCCAATAATGTTCTTGTGGAACTGCTTGAAGATAGGGACTGGGATGGAAAAGCTGTTTTCAATCTAAAGCACAAAGGGGGGAAAAGTCACAAATGTAAAATTGTATTTGCTTCTCTCCTAGCCTTTTAATAACAAACATATTGAGACACTGAATTTTTTGCACTGAATTCTAAGCCAAACCACATGCAAAGTACTGTATATACTCGAGTATAAGCCTAGTTTTTCAGCCCCTTTTTTAGGCAGAAAAAGCTCCCCTCGGCTTATACTCGAGTCAAAGTTATTTATTATTTTACTCTGTTATTAGTATTATTTTTATTTCATGTATTATTTTACTCTATTATTATTACATTTACAGTATTTTACTCTATTATTATTATTATTTTACACTATTTATGATTATTATTAAATTTATTATTTTACTTTATTAGTATTGCATTTATCATTTTACTCTATTATTACATTTAATATTTTACTCTATTATTACTGTTATTATTGCATTCCATTATTTTACTTTATTATTATTATTATTACATTTATTATTTTACTCTATTATTGTTGGAAGGATACGTAAGTACATTTACATTGAAGAAGGTTAGAATAATGATTTAATCAGAGTTGGGCAGTCTTATCTCAAATTACAGTTTTATGTAAATATTCAAAAACATTTCATCCTGATGCCTCAATTAATGTAATTTTATTGGTATCTATTTTTATTTTGAAATTTACCAGTAGTGGCTGCATTTCCCACCCTCAGCTTATACTTGAGTCAATATGTTTTCCCAGTTTTTTGTAGTAAAATTAGGTGCTTCGGCTTATAGTCGGCTCGGCTTATACTCGAGTATATACGGTAGCTAAAACTGTCCCTCTGTAGCCAACCTTGAATCACAGAGTGGAAAGCAACCTGAAGGGTGACCTAGCTCAAATGTTTGCCAGTGTACAAAGCAAAATGAACCACGCTGAGTGTCATCAGTGCTTTGGCCACATAATTAACATGACAGCTATCACTCCAAGGCAGACACAACTTTCACGACTGAAATCAATTCCTGTTTGTGTGAGTCTTTTTCTTTTGAAGGGGTATGAGAAATCTACAAGTGATTTTCATTTGCTGACAGCAAATAACTTTCTGCTAGTGCTCCTAGAAAACATCTAGTGCAGATCTTCAGATGCCATTAAACTGCCAATTCCCAGCCACCATGGTGGTCAGAGGTGAAGACGTGCTTAAAACTCACCAACTCAGCAATAACTTTCTGGAGGTACTTGGCACACTTTTCCACCTCGTTCTTAGGCCCACGTAGCTGCACGATGTCGCTCTTTTGAGATGGGTCGGGGAAGTTAATGATGACCTGGAGGAGCAGAGATCAACATGGAGGATCATAAAACAAGGCAGGGGGGAATCCTCAACTGTTGGAGCTCAGCCATATCGTGCACAAGTTTGCAGTCCTCAAGTCAGACATTCAGCTCAGCTAGCAGGAAAAGCTCTTCCTGCAGTCTTCTTTGCCTCCCTCCCGTCTCTCCTCTTACTTCTTCTTCTGTTTGTTAGACTGATACATCTCAGGGACACCTCTCTTTCTATTAAAAGTATCTAGTCCAGGCATGGGCAAACTTCAGCCCTCCAGGTGTTTTGACTTCAACTACGGCTGTTTGGAATTGTGGAAGTCCAAAACACCAAGGGCCGAAGTTTGCCCATGCCTGATCAAGTCTCATGGCAAGCCTCCATTTTGCTCTTATCCTGTGAGCATGGAGAGAGAGATGTTTCCAGAGAGCTAGGTCCTAACTTTCCTATAAAGAAATTTAGTTCTTGTCATTGTTTATTATTGCTTTATCTTAATTTCCTGACAGTTTTTCAATAAAGACTTTTGTAACTTTCAAAGTTTGACTCTGCTGCTGAACTGTTGAAGCTCATTTGCTCTATTGATAGCTCAGTAAGCTTCTGATCTGCTAAAACTGCTACTATTGTTGATTTCAATTTCAGCTCTTTGTGTGATTTCAAATTTGAATGTTGATTTGTCCATTAGAAAATCCAGTAAAATTCAGATACCCCTTGTTAATTTCCTCTTTATATATACAGTCTGCTTTAACACTTTCTCCAAGTACCACAAAAACACTGTCCTCTGACATTTTAGTCAAGTATATATACTACAATCCATGTATATGAAGGAGTATATGACTTTATTGTACAAACAGGAAACCACTGATAACAGCAAACCCTGCCGAGTTATGTTGGAGGACCTAAAAAATTCTTCTAAGAGAAGAGCCTGGTCAAACCACAACAAAACACAAGCTACTGAAGTCTGGCCTTGGAACAGTACCAACCCTTTGCATCTTACCTCTGGGAACTTGTCACGGATCTCTTTGATTTTCTCGCCTTTCTGCCCGATGATGGTCCGGTGAAAGCGCTGCTCAATGATCAGGTCTTTTGTGCGTTCATTTTCCTAGGAGAGACACCCAACCATCAGTGATGTTTGTGCTCTTCCAGAGCCAAGAGGTTTGTATACATAGGAGGCAAGAGTGACAGGGAAAGTGCACAAAAGAAAGGCCTTTCCCCCAAAAATCTGGTGGGTTCACAGAGAAATGTTGCACGAATATCGCTTGAAAGGTCATCCTCTCTTCGCCTATCCATTCATGGCAGTACAAAATCAGTGCCTTATACCACGTCAAACCTTTGATCTATCAAAATCAGTATTGCCTACTTTGGCAGGAGTCTACATACTTGCTCCTTGAGAGTTATTCCATTTTAATTAATTTATATATCGCTTTCTCACAGAACTGGGATTAAAAGCAGTGCACAACTGATGCACAAAATACAATAGTTACAAAAGTCATATTAAGTAAGTTATAATACTCTAAAGTTGTGAACCCCAAACTATAAGGCTTGGTTACTCTTGCCATTCCAATTCATCTTTGGCAAAAGAAGCAGAGATGTATGAGCAGCTGAAACATCTCCCCCCGCTCCCCCTTACCATACGAGCAGCCATTTCCAGCAGCTCCTTGCGGGCCAGCTGGACCCCTTGCGGGTCTCCCTCAATACGGATCAGGTTGCTCTTCTCGTTGTCAGGTGGGATGCGGACAGAGACTTTGTGCTGTTCCTTGATGCGATTGACTGCCAAGAGAGAGAGCATGTCAGGTACCACTATTCTCCCCTCCTTTGATGGAGACTGAAAGACAGGACAGTGTAATGGTGAAGAGTGCTAAGTAAGGTGGGAGTAGAAATATTCAAACTTCCATTCAGCCAGAACATTTATGAGGTAATTGGTAAGCACAAGGGGATTCTCATAACAATAAAGAAGTGGGGGATAATCCTAAGATCCTTAAGTAAAATGCACAAAGCATGACAACACATTAAACGGGCTGGTATCCTGAAACACACTGATGTCTCTGGATTCTATATTTACTCATCTGTTCCTGCCAGCATGGCCAACTGTAAAATACAGGTGGATATGGAAGTAAAAAATCAATCTTGTTATGTTGTTGTTATGTTGTTGTTATGTTGTTACAGGGCTTCCTTGAAAAAATTATTCAGAGGTCTAAGGCTCCATCTACATTACCATATAATGCACTTTCAGAATGAAGTTTAACTGCATTATATGACTCTGCAGTGCATATAATACAAAGAACTATTGGAATTCAACCCACACTGCCCAAGTCTCAAGTCATCAACAAGGAGCAGTTAGTTTAGTACAGACTAAGGGTTTCTCTTCTCCCATGACTCCCGAATGACAGTTGGAATGTATCTGCTTTGTTCTTCTTTCTCTGTTTCTGGTCTCATTCTGATTGTTTAAAATGGATACTTGTCTACTAAAAGCCTTTTTTGAATCTGACTTCTTCCTTCTTAAACTTCAGTATGGAGAGTATGTGCTGTGAGATCTCTCTCTGCTTGTATGTCAGGAGAGATGTAGTGATTGAGTTTTTTCCCCTCTCTTGAAACTTGGGTGTTAGAGTAGCTCAGAACCAGTTCTTGATTATTAAGAAATGCAGGTATTTCTCATTATAGTAAATATGATTGGACTCTGCATGTTTGCCTCCTAAGCTCTGTATTATTTCCAGCCATCACACGGCATTTAACACTCTACTCGCTAATAAGCTGATGCTCAACTCTAGGTATCCTGTTTATGTTTTTGGATGCTCTGCTGCATTTTATGTAATTTTCCCTAATGGGAATGGTATCATATGGCAGTGTATATGGGACCCAAGAACACCTTATGAAATTCATGGTGTCACCAAAAGCTGACAAGCAACTTGGAGGCACATACACACACAAAAAGGCTGAAATATCTCCAGCCTTCCAGATTTCCAGATGTTGATGCAGAGCCAGAGCAAATGCTGCCTGGCAAGATCTCGCACAGAATCTACCCGCCCCCTGCATGCATTTGAGACAGGAGGACTTGCCTGCCACCCACTTTGTCATCTCAAAACTCACTGTTGGCTCCATTCTTCCCTATCAGATGACGATGGAACCTCTGATCGATGAGCACTTCAGTGTAATCCATGCGACCAAGCTGAAAAGCAGAACACCGGGAAGGCGGGGGGAGGATTAATTGCTGTCATTGTCTCCAGCAGCAGCTCTGTTGCAAGAGAGCTGAACGTGCTTCCAGATAAAATCTGTCATACGGACTTTTATTGGAAAGAGCATCCCTTTTATCATGCAATTGCCCACTTGCCTCAGCATATTCTTGAACACTTTGCCAGAGCTGGATACTATCGAAGGATGGGACAGTGAGTAAGAGAACAAATGGAGCACTACTACTGCAGTCACATTTTATTCCCTTAAGCAACAAATTTGTGCAATGCCATTGCATTCTTTTAGATCTAACAAATGGATCTTAGCTGGCTTAGTCCTCCAAATTCTGCCTCTATGGAAGAGGAATACTTTGGAAGTAGCAGCTTCAAAGTATAATGCAGACAACAAAGGCCCACTTGGCCTAACATTTGTATTTACAGCCAGTCCTCCATATTTACCTTTTGCAGATTTGATTAATATCAAATCTGGGTGTTCCAGGATGCGTCTACGGTCAACTTCAGACAGATGTTGACCATGGCGATATCTTGTAGGGCCTAAACATTCCTAGAAAGATCACTTATCTAAGATACTCGGGGTCCTCAAGTGTGATGTTATGGTCTGGAGGACATAAACATTCCTAGGCAGGTGATCTCCAACTTAAAAAAATGTGTGGCTTTTTATTCAGTTTCCCCACTTTTGCAGGAGTCTTGCACCACTGAACCCTGCAAAAGTGGAGGGCTTGCTGCATTATCTCTCAGCACTTACATTTTTGGGTTTATTTATTTGCAGTATTTATATTCCAGCCTTCTCACCCCAAAGGGGACTCAGGGCAGATCACAGAACACGTATACGGCAAACATTCAATGTCGATTATACAATGACAATACAGACAACTGTTAGAGGTATATGTAGGCTTTCCCATCTTTAGGCATCTTTGGAGGCTGTGCTCAGTTGTGGCCACAGGGAGGTGCTGTAGCTCCACCCCCTTGCCAAAGAGCTTTCTTTGTTCGTAAACTTCCTCCTTTTTCTGATCGAAACTCCATGCCTAAAACACCTCCCCACGTTAATCTGGTTCCTATTTATCTACTCACATTTTTTCTCCTGAACTGCTAGGTAGGCAGAAGCTGGGTTACAAATCAGGCGCTCACCCTGACCCGGGCTTCAAACTGTCAACCTTCTGGTTGACAAGAGGTATTACAGCTTGGTGATTAACCTGCTGTGCTAAAGCCTGGCCTAGTAGAACTGTTTGGAAACTGATTCAGAACAGATAATGTATAATGAATTTAAAGAATATGATGAAGGTATTGAATTTACACCTACAAGACTAAGAGTTACAGATTTGGGTAGCTTTTAAAAATGAAACACATCAGAATTGCAAGAAAAGCTCACCAAGTCCCGGATGATCTCTTGTATCTGAGCCTGAGCCAACTCCACTTCTTCAGTGGGTCCTTCTAGTGTGATCTTCTCATCACCATCAGTGAATTCAATGTGGACCTATAAAGAGAGGAACAACATGGAAATGACATCACACTTGTTATGGCTGGCATAAAAACAAGGAAACAGTAAGGAAGTAGTAGCCAACCGAAAACAGTACTTAGGTTATTATGGGCCTTTATGTCCACTCTGACTTATGGTCACATTACCATAACATTTTGGGCAAGATTCATTCAGGGAAGGTTTGCCACTGTCATCTTCGAAGGCTGATAGTGTGACTTGCTCAAGGCCAGGCTCCTGGAATATCAATCAAAATCTACACCATTGCTGTGTGCCTTCAAGTCAATCCTGACTTACAGTATAGCAGCTCAGAGGGCCTAAATACCCTGAAGGCACCAGATCCCATCTGGTCCTGGAAGATAACCAGGGTCAGCTCTGGTTAGTACTTCAAAGGGAGATAAACAATGAACACCAGGTGATGTATGCTATATTTCAGAGTAAGGAGCTGTCAAAACCAGCAGTGGATGTTCCTTGTCCAAGAAATTCATGGGGTTGTTATAGGTCAACGGTTGTCTTGAAGGGACAAACGCAAGGCAACCCAATCATAGGGTTTCCTTGGCAGAATCTTTCTAGAGAGATTTCTTCTGGTCTTTCTTTACACCAGTGGTTCCCCATCTTTTTT